CCCGATCCAAAATACTCGGGGTGGAATTTTGACCAATTAAGTAATTCCGTAGCAAACAGCAAAATCGGCTGTTCACATGAATGACGTCTTCCTTCTTTTCTTGTCATTTACTGTACGACCATGGCAACTATTTGCTACACGGATTATAGTAATTCCGACATTTTTTTTATATAACCAAATTAGTCCACTATAATTGACGATGATACAGAATATTAATATGGTATTAGTATGGCGTGTTACTTAATATTAAAGTATCGGAAAAAATATCCGAACTATTGACCATTATAACGGCCACCGATTGATTTTTTCACTAAACTTGATATCTTGAAAATGAATAACGTTATTGAATTACTTTCTGGTGTTTCGTCTGATTATGAAAAGCTTTATGAAAGCGGAAAATATACTGATATCTCAATTCATGTCGGTCGAGAGCCAAGCAATAAGATATTTTTCGCTCATTTCTTGGTTTTATGTACAAGGAGCGCATATTTTGAAGACAAACTAACCAGCAATACAGAAGGTCAACAAACTGCTATGGTCTTTGAAGACATGACACCCGGAATTTTTGAAATTTTGCTTAGGTAAACTTGTAGTTCCAATTGAAGCATTTGGTTGTAGTAAACATACAATTACACATTTTTGTATTGCTATTAGAACAATTTATTATATTTTTTATGTATAATCTGTCTTGATTAATGCTCACAGCTATTGTCTACATTTCCAGATTTATTTACACAGGAAAAGTATCTTCTCAGTCTTGTGAGAACGTATCTTGGATTCTTCTTTTGGAAGGAGCTAATAAACTCGGGCTAAGCAGTTTCTGCACTGCGATTGGGGACCAGTTGATAAAGCAACATGAGGAATGGATAGAACAAAACATTCTCATGGTTCATAACTATGCATCGTCCACTGACTCGCTACAGAAACTCGAAGATTATTGCAATCAGCTTATGTTATCATCTCCGGATATCATTCTCAAGTCTAACAAGATAATGGATTTAAGAAAAGTGACTTTTATTAGCCTTCTCAAGAATGATAAGCTTAACATGAGTGAGGGTGATGTTTGGATGTCAGTGGTACAATGGGCCATTAACCAAATCTCTGGACTTTCAGACAATCCGTCCCATTGGTCATCTAATGATGTTAATGCAATCAAAGACATAATGGCTGAATTTGTGCCTTATGTAAGATTTTTTAACATTTCTTCTGAAGAACTCAGTGAACGTGTTATCCCATACATTGAAGTATTACCAAGGGAGTTACGATCTGATTTACTTTCTTATCATCTGCATAAAGACTATAAGCCAAAAATGCGAGTGTTACCACACAGAAAAAGACAATCACCTGATATTGATTCAGTTGTAATTAACAGGCACCAGGCATCATGGATCCTACAGAAAATCGTAGAAACAACGCAGTTAGACAAAGCTGAACAAGATGGAACTAGTAGCAAGAGACAAACTATCCCTTATAAGCTGACCTTACTTTATCGAGAAAGCAGGGATGGTTGGGATAACTATATAAAAGGGAAAAAATGGCAGCAAATGTTAAGAGGTAGTAATTATATTGGTAGGGAAAAAGCAAAATTTTTTTGGCGAACGTGTGCAGAAAAGGGACCAACAATTGCTGTGGGAAGAGTACAAGATACAGAAGAAATACTTGGTGGATATAATCCATTATCATGGAGTTGTAAAAGTGGATATGCAGGTCTTTATAAAAATGGTTCAACTAGAGAAAGTTTTATATTTTCACTGGATAAGAATGATGTTGAGAAGAGCATAATAAGTTTTCCTATGAGAGACGAGCATTTATATAAATATGCTATTTATAATGACTTATACAAGTTTCCTGCTTTTGGCCTTAATGGTGAGGACTTACAATTTGGTGGTTATTCAGACAGAGGAAATTTTTATGGCCCTTCTAGTCGCTTTAAACCAACTTATTATCAAATTCCAATCAGATCTACCAGTGATGGATTTACATGGGTTGATTGGGAAGTGTTTTCTGTTGATATTTAGTCATTATTAAAAAACTGGTATAAATTTACAGCCATCTTTGTACATTTTTAGGTATGAATAGTATGTGTTTTTTTATAATTCGCGTTTTCGTAGTTTTTATATGGTATGTAGCACATTAGCCTGCAATAAAGGATGTAAGTCACTGATATAGTACATATAATAACAGGGAAATTTATAAATATCATATTTTGATTAGATTGAAGTATTAACACAATAATATATAATAAGCATGTATATTGAGAAATACAAGTAAATGAAATAGTATTGCTTGATATAGCATTAAATCGTATGGGCAAATATTTGGTATAAAGATTGCTGAGGTAGAGAAGAGAATGAATGTGATGCAACCATTCAGGAGTAGCATAATGTACCACCAATGTACGCTATTTCTCTTAGCAGGACTGTAATACGTCCCGTCCCATTAACTACTGATGAATTTATGTATTTTTCTTACTGTTGGAGAAATCTGTTACCAGGAATAAAATGGCTATGTAGTTAATGTATTTATTAAAGCATTAGGCCTGCTCCATAATTGATTAAAGATTTAGTACTACGCCTGGGTTGGGTGTTCGGAAGTCACGGGATTGCCAAATTTTTGATCTATTATTAATCATCCCTCTTGATCTTAACATTCTCATCTCGAGCATTATGGAACAGCAACTGACAGCTGCCGACTTACCACGTATACTTGATTTGCTTGCGCCGTCTTCCACTGACTCGCAGAAATTCGTTGCACTTACGTTACTTCCCAGACTTTTGGAACCGAATAAAGAAACGATGATGATGGTATTTGAAGCGATGGATTTCAATTTCATCGAAAGACTATTAAGAACAAGTAACGTGTTGAAGATCATTGCTACGTTTCCAATGTGATCAGTTTTCACTGCTTTCTATAACATTGATCAATTCACTTCTTTCAGAAAGCTCGAATCCAGATATGCAGGATGGAACTCTAAAGTCCATAGCGGTCAATATCTTGAGCTGCTTCTGCATGCATGACGACTTGCTGGAAAAGAAGCAACTTGTAAACCGAATTCCTTCATTGGCTAAATCAGTTGGTATTAGGTATTCCGCTAATTTATTCGTCAACGATATCGTCGATTAAAGACGGCTATTCACACTCGCGCTTCTTTTCTATCGATCACAGTGAGGAGATGTCTCGAGATATATTCAAAATTTTCATAAAGTTGTCTTCCGCAGAAAAGGGTCTGGTTCAACTGACTGATGTAGAAGTTATTAATACTATTCTCAACACGTTAAAGACGTCTAAAGATGGCAAGTCTATTATCTCTGGTGTACCGTATCGATCATAGTTATATCCCATCAATATATAACTCTTTTTTACATTCTTAGCCGAAACTAAGAGACTAGCGTTTCAAGCTGTCCACTGCATCGGGATACAAGTATTGGCGCATCTCGCAACCGATGCCAACTCGGGTCTGATTTCATCAAGTGATCTGTTTAACGAAATACTGCCAGAACTTTCTCTGCTTTTCAGAACATACCAGGATCAGTTGAAGTTTGATTTGTTGAACATGTTTGTGGACATGTTCTCATATTTCGATGATAAGGTAACGCGCGCAGATTGTTTTGCCTCTAGCATGATATTTAATTGCTTATTGAAGTTTATCAGACAAAGTTAAACCGGGAACTTCGAAAAGACACAATCAAATTCCAACAATGGATAGAGAATCTTCGACAAGGCTTGCGAGACATTCTAAGTAGCCATTTGGGTAAGCACGACCCGGCGGTTTAATGAAATGATGTATCTAAATAGCCGTTTATTAAACGGCAGCTTTTCAATTTGTAGGACCCGAACAGCGAGACCAGTCGCTTATGCTTACGAGCCTTCTTTTACATCACTTTGACGCAGAATGGTTGTTTTCACCTCCGTCAACGAAATCATCTTCCGACAAGCGGCCAGACGAGCAAATCAGAAACGAGGCAAAGTTTGCCATTCTCGTCATTCAATTAGCATGTATCGAGATACGCTTGATGCTCGATAGCCTGGCCGAACAGCAAAGGAATAAGGCAGATAATCATGACCCTAGGCTTGAAAAGATGTTACCAACATGTTATACGATACTAGAGAGTTCGATTGAATATTTAGCCAAGATTGGTCAGTTGCTCGAAGAAGAAGAAGCAGAGTCTGGTGAAGACGCTGCACTGTCATTACCCATTGATCCTGAGCTCCTGTTGAAGTTGAAGAACATTCTCACAGAGACCTTTAGAGCCATCATGGATTATCTTGTAGATGTCAAGGTATCATTATAGTTTAGTTGTTTTCATAATTATTGAGCGAGAATTAGTCGCCTAATCAAAGCTTGCTATTAATAGACTGAGTTAATGTCCGTGGAAGAAGCCTGTCAAGATACACGAATAATAGCAACGATACGTGTTTTATCTAGATATTTATCTGAAGAAGCAACTATGGAGAAAGAGATTAGAGAAGTCATGCCTTTTCTGGTGGATGTGGCAGCATACAGGTAATGGTAGAAGGTTGATATATACACTCATCTGATAAAAAGTATCGATTGGCTTGATAATCAATTGGTGAGATATATAATATTCTGAAAAGTGTTCTAGTATACTACGTGAGTACAACAATTTGTTATGTAATCGTTTGAATGACGATGAAGAGGGGTATACGCGCTACATACATTGCATATGCGTTTCACTTTCTAACATATTTCATCGGCACGCTTATAGTTAACCCTTTTGCTTGTCAAAGAAAGGAGAGGTTTTTTACATGTTTTATTAATTGATTATCAAGTTGATTTGATACTTTTGTGCGATGAGATGAGTGGCATTTGCAAATACTTAATAACATGACATTGATACTGGTCATTTGCCTAGACAGTCAAGAACATCCTTCCCAGTTCGATCTCGCGAGTATGCTGGAACCTGCATTTCGCATGGTTGAAGACTTGCCTGAAAAAGATTCCACGTAACGGTTTATCGGGTCATCGGTATGGATGTGTCTTCGCTGGCTCTACTCTTAACATTTATAATAACTAATCTAATAACAAACGCTCAGGACAATATGTATGTGACTCCAATCATGCTATTTCATAGTGTTCAAGTAAATGATTGTTGAAGACAGAGCATTTAGTAATAGAGTTTAATTTTAGTTTTTGGACTATACTAACTAAACAAGACGCGTATTATCAGCTTAAACTTGGTAGTTTGTTCTAGTCACAAATACACAAAACACATGTAACGATTAAGACATCTCAACAGAGTATAAAGATTTGTAAATAATTTATAACAATCATGCGTTATGTTCTCTAACGTAATAGTTGAAGCATGACAGAAGGAAATCAACGTCCTTCCTGTGGTTTTCCGTTATACATGTCCGTGGATAATCACAGTGGCGCCTTTTTGATTTAAATTCGATGGATGGCTTTTTCATGCTAGTTTCTACTTGTCAATGTGGAAAAACCCCATCTAATAACGGGAGTTTATATTTTAATACACTTAATATTAAGCATATATCAATTACGGTTTTTTAGTGACTAATACGATGAACGTTGGATACAATGTCGAAATTTTGATTATTAATATATGGTTATTTTAAAAACTCGTATTTTACTGATAGAAAATTATAGAGATTAATAATAAAAAAACACCTTTAGCTCCTTATCAAGTTTTGAAATGTAATGTTGAAACAGCTTTATTTCATGATGACGAGTTTTTTGTCGAAAAGCAAACCGTAACATGTCGTACTTAATATTCTTTTAAGTTACAATTATACACGTAAAACTTCTCTGTCTTACGTTCTTGATTTCTGAGCTGTTGACGATTTAATTTCGCGAACGATGAAATAAAATTCAATAAATTTGATTTTGAAAATATCTCGATATTAATTACTTAATATTCTCAATTAAATTTTTACATGCATCTCAATGAGAGTTGAGTTATGTTTAACATGTATTTAAATTCCGTAATATGTAGTATCATCCATTGTCGCTCGCATCAATAACATTCTAATTTATACTAAACACAAATGCTTTCAAAAAAATTTATTTGGAATAGTTTATAATAATAATATATAATAAAGACACATTTTAGTTTATTAGTCTATTAAAAAATTTAACGTCGCTCAGTCTATATATAATAATAACTGTAAGAGATCATTGTTTGGTATGTTTCCATAATTTCTCTTTTTCCTTCTCATCTTTTCTCTCCTTTTTCGTTTGTCTTTTCCCCCTGAGTCTAGCAAGAACTTCACCATCAACATAACTAGTAAGTTCGTCAACCCACTTATTAAATTGTATCAGTGTATCATGAGGCGAGGAATCCCAGTCAACGTATTTTAAATTAGGTAGTTGTGCATCAATTAAAGGGTTCACCATGTCATCCCTCATGTTCATACAGTTTTTGATTGATAACATTTCCATTTTTGATGCTTGTGCTAATACATCCCAAGATTGTGCATCAACGAAATCCACTCGTGTAAAATAGATATATTTTAAAGAATGGAGTTGAGATTGAAGAGATGGAAGTAGTACACCCATGCCTCCGTGAATAGTATTGAATCGGGCTACTTTGAGACCTTTTTGTTTACTTATAAGACTGGCAATTGGCTCCATGTCAGGCCTTGATAAGGGCCTCTTATACTTGATTGGGTGATGATCAAATAAGTGCAATCTTTTCTGATAACAACAAGAAAACAATTTAGGAAAGCATAAAATAAAAGCTTTTTCTTTTTTAATGACTGTGCGTGGTACTTACAATGTTTGAGCAAGTATCTGCGAGCACACGAATTAGGTCATAATACTTTTCAGCATGATGATACATCAAACGCTTTACGGTGATAATGACTGCCCGATTCTCGGGTAGTTTGAGCAGCGGAGAAAGACAGTCTGGCATGTCAGCCTTGAGATCATTTATGTGCAATTCGGTCAACCTGGTTTCATTGATGGCCATGGCCTTCCAGATTTTGCCAAACAAGTAAGAAACTTGTGCTTGATTATATTGAAGAAAGGTGCCGATTTGAAATATCACACTATAATATGAAAAACGTTTGAGGAAAGTCGGGTATCTAAAAGTGGGATTAGTGACACCGTCTATCAGCTTTCTGCTCCTGAGTTCAGATACATCATCTCGAGGCAAACAATGGAGATAAATTGATACCACATTCTTAATTCTGAGATTGCCGAGTGCGTCCTGCCATAATAACGGTGCAGTAACTGTACACCACAATTTGCTGACTAAAAGACAAGGATACAGATTTTCTTCATCCAATTCCAGGTAGAACAGAACTCTATCAACTATCTCGGCTATTAGGAAGGGGTTCATATTCAGTTAATTAGTGAGGTTCCGAATGCTCAGCTGAGCTGATAATGTTTTATCAAAAAGACGTTACACATGTGTATAGTAACACTACGAAATATTTCACGATTTGTGAATTCAACTCCGCATCTGTTTATCAATATCTTAATGAATATTAGAGAACCAAAACTATTTATCGACAATATCTTTGCTGGGCATCGCGAATTGTATACGTTTTATCAATACACCAGCAGGCTCTAGTAGTAATTGGTGTGTTTCGCACATAAGTTGGTAGCAGCAAACTTTTACGAGTTTTTTGCTGAGTTTCAGCTCGAAAATTCAAGAATGTGGCGAGAAGATAATGACTAAGGGTTTATGTTTTCTTGTGTCAATTTGAACTACATTCAGCAAGTTAGAAATATCATTAAGAGCGCAAACAAGATACTTGTTCGTTAAAGCATCCATTACAACTCTAGATTGGCGCAATACGTATTAACTCTAAACACTACTGTGGAGCCTGTTTATGCAGATATCATTAACCAACTATTACTATGGATACATACATGCTACGATAAGTTGAATTATATTATCAAATAATTCGTAAATTGCAAGCTTATTCAAGTGCAAGTAACTTAAAATAGTGGACATATGCAACATGTAACGACTCCACACCTGCCCTACATTTAGTACCCTACATCACGTCTACTGGTGGAATTTCCAATAGTAATAGGTAGAATATTTACAAGATTGTGATAAATTTACAATAATAAACAGCATTCCATACATGCTGTCCCCAGAACTTCAATAGCTTACCTCTTAACAAATTTACCGAAAACAAAATAAATAAATTAGGTATACGTGTTAAATTCCTAACTTGCAATTGTGCAATTATTGAGGCGTATTGATTTAAATTCATAGGTTGCGCAGAAATGTAGGAAACATTATCATTGTTTTTCAAGAAATAGTTACTGCAACCCACTTAATATTATTAGGCAGCAGTATGACAAAAGTAAATAAACTTCTACACTTGTTAAGCTCTACAGTATCACTTTGCGGTGGATATTTAATATAGTGATTTCATTTTTCTTCAGTTATAAATTGCGAACAAGACGTTTGGTTAACGAGCAATGTTTGTCTAAATTGTAGATAAGTTTATATTTCTTGAATGTTCAAAAAGCAATTTACGTAAATCTGTTGGCGGTATGGAAGAATTTTCAGAGTCCGCAAACTAACCATCTATTAACTTGTTGGCAGATATTACGATCTTACCGCAACCAGAAAAAAAGTACGTCGGGTAATGTTGTAAATTCAACTGAAACAGTAAGCCAGCCATGATTATAACTCGCTAGAGACAAATATCCAAATACGATGCGTAAAAACAAAGGATTAATTGATACACGCTTCTTCGAAAATCAGCTACCCGTGAAAACGTTTAAGACTGGACTATCGATTATGGCATAGCGACGACAACTGAGAAAGATAGAATGGAGATTTTGCATTACGGAAATAACAAGGCGAGAACGATTGATAAGTGAACGAATAGAGTGATGGTATGGCCATAACCTCATGTTTATGATGATAAAAATGGTTAAAAAACGTAACGATACTTTAAAACAGTGCTAGACTCGACGATTCATCGCTTGATGAAAATGATTGGACACAATTCGTTCAAAACGATTGTATTCATCAGGGAATCAACGTAAATTTTATTTTAGTCACCTCATCAAAGGTTTTTCCAGCACGTCAGAAAGGTAATATACTGCAGATATAATTATTCTTTTTTGATGTCGTAGGAGGTGTCTTTGATATTAACCTTGACAATAGACTGTCCGGCGTTTCCCATCGATCCAACGTAACTCAAACCACCTGGTAGATCCCCGCCGTGAGAGCTGCTGTTTCCTGGAATGCGACCATCACGCATGGCCTTGAACAATTCTAGTTTGAAACAACATTAAGAGAAATTAATGTAAAATCTGGATAGACGGAAAATCAAAACTTGAATATTACCATGACAAGGTTCGACAACACCGTCATAAACTTTAATGTTCCACCAGTTTCTATGACCGAAAACATATGCATACGGAATACTCCACATAAAAACTAAAGACTTCTTGAGTCCCGCAATATAGTACACTATGAGTCCTCGCGTTCCTTTAGTTGAGTATGAGGTCTTACGGGCACGCCAAACCAGCCCTTCACCGCTTAATACAGGATCTACAGGAATCCCTTCTCGTGATGACCCGGATTCAAAGTATACTTTAGGTTTTTCGCAAAAGGAATGTTGTGAGTGATTCTTGATCGTAATTACAACCTTTCTGCTACATCGTAATTCCTGCATATTTACAAAACCAAATATACGTGCATTAGTGTTCAAGACTGCAGGTGTGCGGCATAATATTAGTCCAAGTTTCAGATAACCCTAATGATTATGTTGACAAATAATTGATTATACTATACTTTCAATAGCTTCCATAGCAATTCGTAAGTAATATCCGGGATTTTGTAAACGCCTACTGACATGTTGAAGAAAGCAGATGTTCATGAGAGAACATTCAAAGTTCCGGAGTTTTATATTATAGTCGTATTGCGTAAATAATTAAAGTATAACACAATGTGTTCTACCCAGTCCGAATTTGTAAATGTTATACCTCAATTCGGTCGGCGGAAATGCAAACACAAACTAAAAACGATGATTGAGAAAAATTGAAAGATGAGAGTCTTAAAATTGGCATGGTTTGAGACATACAGTATCGTAAGTATGAATAGTATAGTATTGACTAATTTTGAGTGTAGGCTCGTAAGTCGTGTAAAACCACACGTAGAATAGTCGTCAAGTTGTATGATTAGCGCAACATGTTTGATAATAATAACTCATGCTACGGTGAACAGCACATTGTTGTCCTTATCATTCTGATTTTCCCACTAAATCGAAGCTTGATTATCTGCAGATCTGTTAATTCGCACGAACCTTGTTTTAGTCCAAATTTGGTTAACAAGTGTTTGCTATGTAGCACCAGACAAGTCTTAAACACCATAAATTGAACGTATTTACTAAGTCGAGGCGGGCGCTTTCCCGTTTCTTCACAACGATATGCCAAGCCACGTTTATTACCCATCTTAATACTCGCGTCGTCATCACTAACGTTTTTCGTAAACTCAAATGCAGCGTCAAGTAATTGTTTTGCACCCCAGCACCAATAGATGATTGTTCGCTAACTTATTCAGGAACTCAAAGCATTTGCTTTGCGAGTATTTTAGAGATTACACATTATTCTCGATTGGTCTAGGTTGTCCAGTTTTTGTGAGAATAAGCGTTATTTTCGATCACAGCGACAGTAACCTGTTACGTGTAATATTATTGTATCATGAGGTAGATCCAAGCGTATACAAACGTAAAGGCTGTAGTACGAGTAGTAATACCACAAGTTATTTGCGCTTATATAGATAGATCATTTATACAATGTTAAATACTATATGATTTGTAACAACTCAGTTGTTTATACGTATAGTAATGCCAACAACAAACTTTTATAATGTTGTTACTTGATTGTTTTTGCTGTTCCGAGTTCGGACTGGACATAAATTTCAAACTGACATACAACAGATTCGGAGAACGTATCACAGGCTGTTCAGTAAATCGCAAGTTTGGAAGACAACTTTGTCAGCCTCTTGAACCAATTATTTGAATCGATTCCCCGGTACGCAAAATCTCACTGTAACTTTAGGTCTATAAGAAAAGTTTTACTATTACATTTTTTATTCGAAATGTGCAGGCAAATTTCGTTATTACGGTGCCGCACATTCAGTAACTTTACCTGTCTACTTTAATACGGCCTTGTGTATTACATATATGCTTGTTTACAGAATACTTTTACAAATATTAGCATGTTAGTTTGTTCTGAAATGTCTTGCAAAATGGACAATAGTCTTGTTACTGTTATTGTGTTTAATAGCAAATAAATATGTCTTTGCTTGTTGCTTATTTTGTAAAATATTCTGTTTCAAATTATCACTCGATTGGGTAATGGTAGCGTGTGAATTATAGTTTTAAACAATAGAGTTTATATAACAAAGACAATCTTGGTCCAGAACTAAGACAGGTCCCGAACTGCAGAAATATTTCATAAACGGTAAATCAAAATGCATCGCCGCGTCTCGATTCACAAGAAACGAGAACGTCGATGCAGACAACAAAAGATTTATTTCCTATTATTCCTCAAACTTTTTGTATGTAAATGTCAAAATGTATACCAAATGACATCGATATTTCCAAGGAAACCTGATAATACAAGACAAAGACCTACCTCGAAAAATCTAAAAGCAATTTGACATGCATAGTTATTTGGCAAGTTACACAGCTTTTACTAATTATAAAATGTTAACACAATTACATTCTTAATGTGTTTACTGCCAGCCGCAATAGTAAGTACGATTAAACTTGTACGGGTTAATAATCTACAATCTGTTATCGTAATTTCAATGAAAATATTTAAACGTCAGCATGCTGAATCTTTTTGCTCATCTTCCTTAACAATTTTTTAGCCACATAGCTCGCCCATTCCAATTTTATATTCTCACCGAAACAATTTTTCAAAAAAAAAAAAAAAAAAAAAAAAAAAAAAAAAAAAAAAAAAAAAAAAAAAAACTTCCATTTTCCTTTTTTTATAAATTTTGGAAGACTCCGTAGAAACTGTTGGCACGTATGCCATACAAAACTAAGCCATGTGTGCAACAACAAACCCCAAAAATACAATTCACGTACTGTATTCCCGAAAACGAAACCGAGACGAACGATAATAATGATGATCATGAAGCATTACAAGCGGGACATACAGTACCTACCTAGCACATTGGAAATTACCTACCTCTCTAACAAAAATTCGATTGATTTAATCATATTATCAAACGTCTTATTATCGATCAACGCAAACGAATGTCCGGAATCGCCTATGGTTATTAGATATATAAGGAAGGTAACAAGTCCACCACGTCTACTAATACTGGATTAAAGCTAGTCGTGACAGTCTCCGAATACATAAAAAAAAACGAAAAGCCCGTTAATGAAATAACGGTAACCCATCCTGTCACAGGTAGACTAAGTCAATCGATCAACGCAGCCAGCACAGAAGAATGCTATTGTTCAATTTACTGGCATATTGATTATATACGAAGGCATTATCTACTGTGACGCACTGGACTTTTCGTTTGTCGGATCCAAATACGATGATATTATTACACCAATCCATAGTCGGTTGCCAAACCCGAAGCACACCCAAGTCTGCTGACAGCGGACGTATAGAAGCAATACATAAAGAACATAACGTAGCATCACAGACACCGACCAAGATCCAAAGTCTAACAAACGTTAAGCAAGAAACAGACAAAAGCCATCGATTCTCAGCCAGGAGACATCGCTTTCTCCGTAATCAAAAAACAAACGACGATGCAGGGCAAAGCGAGGGAAGTCATAAAAAACAAAGAAATGACGAAATAACACAACATGTCTTAAATCAATTTGCGTAATTTTTTTATTTTTTGAGTTACAATTTAAACTTATCGTACTGTATCTTAATTGGTATAAAGCAAGATACTTTATACAGTTACGCCGCTATATTATATCAATGGCACAAAAATGTCTGCATTTGCCTCGGAAATGTGGTTTAGAACGTCGGAAACTTATAATAATATTATATTTACTATTACGCACAATCACTCAACTTTGCCCCTGTATTAGAAAAAAACGTCATCATACATAATAGTAACGTGGCGCATCTTTATGTCGCCCGATTATTTACTTTTATTTGCAGCTTAGTCACGAATTACAGTATATGTGGACATTTAATGATGCGAAAATTGAATAAAAAACTTTTGCATCATTAATAACGTATTACTCGTAGAAACGACAAATACAAATTTTCGAAGCCGTAGACTATATCGATGACATATACAACCAATTGATTTAACACAGTCAGATTTCAAACTCAAAACAAATTTGCCACCATCGACATGCATACAACAAGGCGCAAGAGTCATGTATTTAAACAACTCGCTGATCGAAAAAGGTATCTGCAACGGTACAGTTGGGATTATTATTGACTTTGACAGAGACATTCTTCAATCAAAGTAGGTGTTTTGTATACACAATAAAATGGTCCATCACTGGATATCTCGTCAAACATCTTATTTTTATACAGTAGGCCAAAAAAAGCGTCACGTACATAATTTTCCCTACAAAATTCATTTTGCACTTACTGCACACAAAACACAGGGCTCACACTACCGAACCTAACCTCAAATAAAATATTCTCCGCTGGTCAAGTGTATGTCGCAATAAACCGCTATTCATTATGGGGAATTACCCTCCGTAAAGATGCATTCATTATAGACAGAAGTGTAATTGAAGAATACTGACACCTTCAACTCTTAGCAGAACAGTCACTTAGACAAATTACTCCAACTACTACTGAAACAGCCCATACATATTAGATCACTCTAGCTAAACTTACAAAACATACATGTTATTAACTACGCTAATACTATAGAAAATAAACTATTAAAAATCGTTTCAAATATCTATCTGCTTATATTGCACTATGCTCGATCGACACAGTCCACGGCACCGGGCACAACAAAACTTTCCTAGTTTGTTATATAATTTGAGTAATCTCTATAGGAGTACACCTCTATTGTAAAACATAATTTGGCTGTCCCGACCGCGTTCTTTTATGGAGGGTTGACTGTAAACATTTTAGCGGAATACGCAAGACAGTAAATGAGATAAAATTATATAGGCAACAAGTGAGTAATTATACATAGGACATGGAGGAATCATAATGAAATACGCTTTACTTAGAATAATCATTGTTATTATTACAGCAACTGTTTTTCACGATAAAACACGTTAGCAAACTTTGCTATCGATGCAAAACGTTACTATTACTATTACTCGGACGGGGGTGTAAATCTTTAATTAGAAATTAGATTCTCAATTAGTTTAGTCAAATCTAAGAGAAAGTCCAAAATAAAGAGAAAATCTGTACGCTCCACTTACACGAAATTTTCAAGCCCGTCATTAGCTGAGAAATTTTGCTGAGGCTGCTGGGTTGTTTCGTATTCTCAACCAAAAAATTTGGAGCGTGGTAACGAAGGTATATTGTTATCTATTCTTATACTATTGTTTAGCTCTGCCGTATCAGGGTCTGATATCGGTAGTTTGCTAACCCCTTGTCTGTTATATCATTTGCCGTTAATTTACCGATTATTTTTAAAAAGCCCAGGCATATTTTTCAAATCGAGAAGGGATTTGAGAAAGTCTGAATATGTGCTGTGTGGCACGTACTCTTAAATTGACGTACGCACTTTTCTGATACTGTTACTGGAAAGTTATGAAATAAAACTTGCATTTGAATTTTTATTAACGATATCGAATCATTGTTCGTACGTATATGACACTAACATGGTGTATCAATAGCACCGCTATTTATCGATAAACTATCAATACACATCTGATATGTTACACA